TTCAGTGCATCAAGCTCTGGCTCACAGTGCAATACTTTGTAAAATATTGGATGCATTGTAGTGGTATTGAGTTCATACACTGAGTTTTCCCACAGATTGAATTGTTGTGATTTTTCTGCTCTTGTGACATTATTCCGACTACCAGCAGCAGGTGAGAAAAGGGACGATTTTTATTTGTAGGAGAAAATGTCTTCCATTTACTTTTCAGAAATTTAGCCTCAGGCTAGCTCTAATTTTCTGTGTAAATGTTGGTTTAGCACATATTAAATTACAGAATGATTGCTTTGTTTTTACGACTCTTAAATTAATTTAAAGCTGAAGTTATTTATTTTCTTACAAAGCAAGCTTGGTAGAAACATTCACAGTATTGTTGTTTACTATGATTCACATCAATGAATTTATATTCATAATTTCCATCACTTTAATCCATTACGTCAGGTCATTTGCTTTCCTATGCTCACTTTTAACTTTCCTTTGCTAGAGCACTGAAAACAACAGAAAAACACCAAAACTAAAGAGTTTGGTATCTATTTCTACCGCTTGCGCTTATTTTAAGAAAAACAATGAACTACAGTAAAATGATGTATTCCATCAGACATACAGTGCTAAGTCTCTGCCATGACTCTGTTCTCCATTCCTTCATCCTCTTCTCAGTCAACATGATGGCTTGTGTCCAGTCAGTGGGCAGTCTTGGTGTAATTTGGCCCAGAGGGGCTTCTGGCAGTAGGTGAGGGGATAAAGGGAGCAGGGATAGTGGGGTTTGGAGAAAAGCAGGCTTAGTGTGGGGCCCTCGATGGAGTGGCCAGTGAGCACATAGGAAAAGCATTAAATAAACATTAATGGAACTAGGTTACAGGAGACTTATTAGCCAGGCTTTTTGGGCCCCCACTGTAGGGTTTTATGTCGCACTTTAATAACTCTCTCATGCACACAGGTAAACAAACCAGGTAATTTATTGCCATCCTCATAGGTGGCCAATGTGAACACAGTTTTTACTTTGCTGTGGCCCATAAATTGATTCTTCTCTGTTTTTTATCATGTGAATGAATAGTGTGTGGCTCCAAAAAGAAGACTACAAATCCGATTTGGATCCAGTTTTGATGTCATTTTGTGATGTTAAAAATTAGTGTGCCTAACCGTGGCTTAGTAATTTCAACATACCCTTTTGTGGCATGTCAAAAAGATAAATAGTAACTGATTAAAATGCAGTAAGGAGGACTCCGGGGCAGGACAAAAACCTAAATCTCAATTTTACAAGGACAGAAAGTTTATAGCAAGTAGAGAGAAAGACAAAGCAAAGCCCCGAATCTGAAAAAAAGATTTTATTACCTGACTATGTCTTATACAAATTCCTGAATGCCATTATTAATGCATTTCTTTGGAATTTAATTAGACAGATCAACATAAAGTAGAGCATATATGAAGTGATTTTTTTCAAGGACTTTGAAATATTTAAAATGATAATAATAATAATGAAAAACGTTTCATAATTGTTTTTTTGTTTTTTTTGTTTAATTTCCAAAAAGGATCTTAGGACCCAAACCTTGTCTTATTGCAACAATTGGGGTTTCATCTCTCTTTCAGAACTGCTTCCTTACTTCAAACTATGATTCTTGCCACTTTTCTTTTGGCAATGGCTTTATTTTGTCATTCTTTGTAAATATCAAATTTGTGGTTGGCAAGAAGTGTAACAATGTCACTTGAGCTGTAAATTTCTGCAGCTCCTCCAGAGTCACCTCCTCTTTTGACTTTTATATGTAATTTGATTGAAATTGATTTTAATTAGAGCAATCAGAGTGAAAAGGTTTTGAATGCAAAATGCATGTCACACTTTGTCATTTTAATTTTTGAACCATGCATCATTTTTCGCTTCACAGCTAAGCGCTACTTTCCGTGTGTTACATACAATAGAAAATTAAAGCAGAGTGGCAGCTTTAAATCCTTATTAATGTTTCCTACATGGAGCCCCTTCAGGGCTGTTGTCTTTCTCTGCCTTGGTTGGGTTTAATGCAGGGCAAGCTGTCCTCCTGTGAGGACAACCCAAAGAGAAGAGCGAAGACTGACAAACAAGGTTGGGGGGCAACCAAAGACTGCCTAATGCCTTACCTCATGACTCGGCGTGTCCACTCCAAGCCCAATTGGTGTGAATGTGAGACCTGGTTCAGACAGAATACTTGTGAAAGTCCACTCTGAGCAGGAGAGAGGGGATTTGTTGTCTGAGAGTGAGAATTGAATGAAGAGAATATCAAGTGAGGGTATAGAAAGAGAATTATAATGAGTTTTTTTTTTCCCTTTGAGACGGGTTGTAAAAACAGGCAAGTAAAAGAAACAAAAAGAAAACAAAGGATCCTATAGAAAAAAGGAAGAAAAGTGTAATTGACAACCGGACAGTTAAAGAATGTTAGCTTGACAGTTAGACCTTACATTTTCAGTGTGTATATATGTGTGTGAGTATGTTTGCTTTCTCATTCTGTTTTTGTATGCATGCTGGATGGCGGCTCCAGCGTGCAGGTTGTGTTGCTGCAGGATAGTGTGCGTCAGGCTCCATCAATATGACATGTCTTTGATGTGGAAATATGAAGAGCAAAAGCCCAGCCAGCTTCAGTCCAGTCCCCAGCGGGACACATCTACCACAGTGCATACGTGGGCATTTCAGGGAGTGAGAAGAGAAGGGGAGCAAATCGAGGAAAATAAAACCTCCAGTGAGCCATCAGCTACATCAGGCACTGCGAGTAATTAAGTAAAATTTAAGTTCGATAACACCTTCCCTGAAAAAAAACCCCCAAAAAACACAAGACAAGATTTTTTTTTTCTTTTTGATTTCTTGACATGATTATGATGATAATTTTCTGCACCCCCTTTTTCATATGTTTTTAAACTTTTTATTTATTTTTGTTTATGCTAACCTAATTTAGCAAAGTTTTATTTTTAAAGCCTCTATATTTCTGTGATGTGCTAGCTGCATTTTAGATTCTAAACAGTTATTTTTTTTTTCATTTACCCTTAAAAAAAATCACAACTCCAGTACTGCAAAACTCAAGAGTCCTTTTGATGTTGAAAAGATATGTTACTTTGGCGAAGTTTTACTTTCACACCCATCCGCTGGGGCTCTCTAGAAAAGACGAGGCGATTGAGGGAGGTGTACAAAGGAAGAGATAACAGAGGTCTGACAGGAGCAATGGGGGTAAATCACATCCAGGCAGACCTGGATATAGAGAGACAGAAGAATAAGTCCATTCTCTGCCCAATGTTCTGACTGTCCCAGTGTGACCTCACAAAAAAAAAATCCAAATAATCTACACCTCCTCCACATGCGCAAAACTCCAAAAAATACTTCTGCAATTGTGTGTTTTTGGATCAATGTAATATGTTTTGCACATGACCTCATTGGTGAGTTTTCAGCTGGGGAAACAGAAAAATCCCAAATACAGCATTGATTATAAACTAGCAAAGCAGGACATGTTCGGAAAGCTGCTGTGGCCACGCAGTAATAGCAGACTGTTCAAACAGAACAATATCTTGATAACGGTTTGGCCCTGGTAATCGCAGGCCACATGCTGTCCCACCTGACCATGGATGTTGCCAAGGCGACTGTAAAAGAACACTAATTGCCTATAACGGCATCCAGACTCAGAAGCTGGACTTCGTAGGAGTAACAAGCATGCAGCAAAGTGTTGTCAAATGATGGCCTTTAATAATCGGTTGACAGCAACAGGATCAACTTAGAACAGATTACAGTGGAAAATACATAAGAGAGAACAAACACATTTAATTAGATGAATTTTGTATTAATATTTAATTTTAATTGTTGCTCTTTATTTTGCAGTCTTTTATTTTGCATGCGCATCCAGCAATTCTTCTGGCATAAACACTAACACTCCCCATAGACAAATACAGAGACTGATTTTACACTCCCTGTCACCAGGTGGCGCTGCAGGTATTGCACTTTACGTGCCCCAATTGAATCTGAAATTGAAAATATTTGTTTGCAACAGCCCTACTTCTCATACAGATTAGTTGGTGCTAACATTTTTTTTAATAAAACACCTGAACTATGTGTCAAAAAAAAATCATTTCATCATCACACTTTGCTGTCTTTAGCATTGTGTGCCTGCAGACTGTCCACCAGCTGAGCTGCACTGTACCCACACATGTGTGGTGTGCTACTGTATGTGTGCACTTTATGGTTATAAGTGCTCTTAGCTGTTCACCTCACTTAGGTTTGATGATTGTGGAGGCAGGATGAGTTTTGCTCTTGATGCAAGTGGTTGTTTATGAAGTTATGCTGTCTTTTTTTCCCCGTCCTTGCATGTGCGTGAGTTTCATATTCATCCTTCATGAAAAATATAGCCAGCACCAATAACAACTATCGGCATAAATGGGTAAAAAGCTGTAATTTCAGAATGACCAGTGGTAATGAAATTCCTTCTCAAGGTCTCCTTTTTTCCACGTTTGTGTCCTCTACATGTGTGTTCACGTAAATCTCATCCCGCTCAGGGTGGGAGTCTTGTAGTGCCCCAGTGCAGTCCCCATGAGGTCAATGGCTGCTGTGATAATGCTTAACTGATGCCGGCTGTCAATACTCATTCACTGGGAGAAAAGTCCTCCGCCTGTTCAGTAAATTACACAGTGCGACGTGAGCCTTGAGGTTCAAAACAACCTGACCCCACTGTTGTTGTGCGAAACAATAGAACAATGACTGCAATCAGCTTTTCCAGCAGCCATCTGTGTCATGCTGCTGCCTACAAAACACCTTTCCATTACTTCAGGGCTGCCGCTATTAGCTCTTCTTGTCATTGACTCCAAAGTGAGATGAAGACCCTCATTTTTCCATTTTTTTTTTCTTTCTTCTGCTGACCTTGACATAGGTGGGTCTTAAAAGTACTGTAAGGCAACACATGTGTGACATTTTTCTGCTATTGCTGGTTACTGTAGCAAGCTTTTATTGTTTTATGTTTGAGACGTTGCATTTTCTATTTTCTTTGACTCCTCCTTTCTCACGGCTTCTCCAAACATTCTCGGGAGCAGTACGAGAAGCTGTCCACCATGCACAAGAACATGCAGAAGCTGTACGAGAGCATCGGCAGCTACTTCGCATTCGACCCCCACTCAGTCAGCGTGGAGGATTTCTTCGGAGAGCTGGCCAACTTCCGCTTCCTCTTCATGGTGAGTTTAAAACGACGGCACATGTACTCCGTTGCTGTAAAGCAGACACACGGCGCCTAACAGCGGCCGCCACCCACTCATGCACATGCCTTTGCACTCGCTTGCTTGCACACATTGGGTGTTAGTGAAATGAGAGCTGTTTGCACATGCTCACATTTTCATCAAACTTTGCAGCAGGACCCCACAGATGGTGAAAAATTACAATGTTCTCATTGAAACTGAATGTTAAATTAGGATTACAATTAGAGGAGCATCCCAGTAAATTAGAATGGGATGAAGAACTTAATTTTTTCTCTAATATATTTCAGGATGTCACTCTCATAGACACACTGATAAATGAAACCCAGACTGAAGGGTGTGAACTGCAGAAATAAAAACTTGAAGTGTCACTGCATGTGTAGAGAATCTTCTTCTGAACTAAACTACTGAAATAAATTAGCATTCATTCTCATTTATTGACCTCTTTTTATGGATTTTATAAAGGAAATGCTAAAAACAAATCACATAACTAAGGCAGATTGAAGATTTGTAATTTTTTTTTATCAGTAGTGTTCACCTCTCATGTGTAGTAAATCTCTTGACCCTGGTGTAATAACAAAGACATTTTCTTACAAATTAAGATAACTTTAAGGCATCAACATTTCATCTCCTTTGTTATTTTTGTCATACTTGACAGACCATAACTTGAGTCTGAAATAGAGCATTGAAGATGATTTTGTCCCACTGCAATTCCAGAAGTCATCAATGTTTTTTTTTCTTTCACTTGAGAAACAATCATTTCAGCTTTCCAACTTCAAAATACAAGAAGGTTTTCATTCCAAAACAGTTCCACGCTTTGTATTCAGACTTTATATTTCTAATATGGTTCTTGTACGTTTTCTGAATGTGCTCAGGAAGAATGTAACAAGGGCCACCTGCTGTCATTTCCTTCCATATGCCATTTTTTCTGAATCAAATACCTTTTTATTTGCAGATAGCTTTCCAGTGCTACAACAGACTGTGACGTTTTGAATAGTGTCGCTTTTCTGTTTCTTGTAAAAGCCGACTAATATTCAGGTGCCGGTGGACACAAAAGCAACTTCAGTTTTTTTTCTTTTTTTTTCTTTTTCTCTGCACTTTATATACTTTAATCAAACGTATATAAAAGCCCTTTTCATCAATCCATTCTTCTCTCTTCTCTCACAGAAGTAGTGCAATGTCCCCAACATTTAAAAAATCATTTTATGTGCTGGTCTTTTAAATGGCAACAGTTCTAAAGACCTTGAATATGTTTAAGGTTTTATTAATGTTCACAATGGATTCAGAGATGTACGCAAAGCTTGAATTATCAATTTCAGAAGTGTTTGCTGTTGTTGGCTCTAGCACTGATTTGTTGTGTTAAAATCTTTACGCTAAGGTTAAGTTTAATGACTTTTCTGATATTGGGGGGAAAAAAACCTGCTTTTATGGCAAAGAAAAAGCTTTGTAATTTTTGACATTGGCTTAAAATTTCCAGACAGACTCTGATGTTGCTGGGTGTCTCAAATAAGTTAAACCAGGGGTGTCCGAAGTGCGGTCTCGGGGCCATTTGCGACCTATGAATGATTTTCTTCTGCCCTCAACAACAAATCTGCAATAAAACAAATCTGGTCTATCTCTACCTGATCCAGATAAATACTTCTTAAAAAATCTTTTTTGGCAAGATTTTCAACAGTCTTACAATAACAAAATATTAGGTGCACCAGAAAATATTCATCATTTATAAAACTGCTTTCTGTGTTAATCTCAATTTAAATTGAACAGAATGACCCAGATCCCTCTGTTGTTCCTGAACTTAGACTAAAACCTATTAAAAAGCTGGCCCACGATAACCCAAAAAATTAGAAAACGCTTTGCCTGGCTTTTAATAACACACTCACAAAAGACCCTTTACATGCTTTTGATCTACAATGTCCTTCTAAAAATGTCTGTTTCATTTATCTGAATAAAATCTTGCACATTTAGTTTATTTTTGAGCTGCTAAAATAAAAAAAACAAAACAGCACTTTCTCAGTTTAAATTGATGTTGAAGTTTCTTCGCTGTAAACAGCGATATTTGTGTTCAATCAGCTATGGTTTTTCTTAGGTTGTTCCTGAAATGAAACTTGGACAAAATCAGCTGTTTAAACTGGATAATAAGCCGCATAAAAGTTAACTTTATATTTGTTCATTTGCTGAAAGCTATAATTGGAAGTGTTTTCTGTCAGAATACAGTGAGTGGTGCATTATTACATTTTATATGTTCCTATACAAAAAATTTGACATTTTGTCAAAATTGGCTTTAAACAAGATCATTTAGATGCATTCATTTGAACTCAGGGAAAAATTAATAGTTCATTAACGCATCAACCAGGTGCAAATTGAATTAGTAACGATGGAAGTCATGTGAAAAGTAAAGTAAAAATCTCCTGTTTTTCTCAGCAGTCTTCTAAACATGTATTTACCTGTCTTTGCCTCTCTGCCATCTCTCTTTCCCACCTGGCACCTCCCCTAAAGCTCCAGGTGACAGGATGATGACATCCTGTCCAGACGGTGTTCTCTTTTTCTTTTCGCAACCCGTTAATGTAAATGGAAAGGTCCCCTTGTCTGAATCCCTCTCGTTTTCTTATTCTGATCCTCGTGTGAAACCCGCTTTCCATTCTCTCTGATCAAAGTGCACGAGTGCACAACGCAGCACTCCCTGAAGGATTCCAGAGTTGCATATCTGTAAAAGAGGCATCTACCCAAGAAAATAAATTATTCTCTCAAGCAAATAGCTGGATATGAATATTTTATTACCGTTTTCCTGCTATGGTTAAGGGGATAGAAGTAAGTGGGATATAGTGTAGTTAATATATTCATACAAAAACAATCCTTTAATCACCACATTCCTCAGATATTATTTATAGTTTTTGGCGCTTCAGCTTTACTGACAGAAAGGCTAATCCCATCTGCTTCCAGAGCACAAGGAATCAATGGTTGTTCCTATTTGAATGTTGTTTTTATTTTTCTTACCCTGTGAAACAACTAGGCTAACTCATTTTTTCCTCCAAAAAAGATCTTATGCTTTATTCATCTTTGACTTACATCGACTCCTTCTTGATTGTGACAAATGGCAAATCAAATAAATGTGATGACTTTTTGTCAGTGAACATGCTAGCTGGATTTAGCCTCTTGGAACACCTGGTGCGTCGCTGACATTTGTTTATTATTCTTTTCAAATACGGAGATATGAAGTTGTTTGACTCGGACAAAACATCCTCGCTAAGTTCCTTCTCTGTTGCACCGCCCTTTGTAACGCATTCACAGCACAAAGCATCTGCTGTATTAAAGAATTCCCTTGCAATACAGTCACCCTAAATTGCTTTTACTAAAAAGCGGAAGCTTAATGCACCCGACCGACATAAGGCATTTGAGCAAACGCATTGACAGACAGTTCTCACAGAACTGAATGTAACTGATAAGAGAATCCATTAACTCTATTTTATTTTTCATTCTCTGTCTCTCCCTCACCCCCACCTAGTTTTTTTCTTCCTTTTTTTTTTCTGAGCCCAATAAAATATCATTTGAGCCAGTATTTGAAGAGTTCAACAATTAATTTAATGCTACTGCCATACTTTGAAACAGAGTATGGGTGAAATGCAATAGCAGGGAGTGTTATATGTAATCCTGACCAGGAGCATAAGGATGGGGAGTTTTTCTTTTTCATTAATGAGTTATCAAAGCACAGCAGATGGGCTGGGATGAGCCAACAGTTTTCCTTGTTAATGAAGTGACTTTCTAGTATGACCAAATCACTCAGAGTGGATCCATAGAGTAACAGGATAGAACATTTCTGAGAAGGTTTTTAATATTTGTCGGTGCCATTTTCACCTTATTTGATATAATCCTTATTATATAAGAGGTGATCGCTGCTTTCAGACTCGGCTGATTCAGCATCGTGTTTATGTGATATATTTACTTACTGTACAGCGACTTTGGAGGTCACCCGTCAATATGTGAGTACATGTATACAGCAGCAGAAGCCTCCCAGTCTGTAACCTATAACTTCTTGAAACCATTTCTCCCCCACATCCTGGCACACGGTGCAGCAGATGGCTAATAAACACATTTGCTGCTTAAAGCCCAGGCGTTGTAGTGTTTGTAAAATTCAAATGGGATATAGTGATGGCACCCTCTCTGTGTGAGATCATTGGTGCAACCGAGCAGTTGGAAATACTTATTACGCCCTCACTGGACCGGCAAACTCATTTGCATGGGAAGGGAACCATGCTGCGGGAGACGTGTTGTGTTGCACAGGTCAAGGAGGAACAATACACACATTTTAGAAATTATAAAGACAACAGAGCCAGTCTGGGCATCATGGCCTTAGTAAAGAAGTGCCATGTTAGTATTTGGACAGCATTACTCACAGCTGAATGCCAAATGGAACACAATTTAACATTTCTCGTCTTTTTAAATTTACATAGCCAATATTTGATAATGATGCATGCATAAATATTTTTTTCTAAAAACTAGAAGGACTTGGAAATACATTTTTGCTGGATGCAGTCATATGTATTGTAGCTTTCACTCACACATGTCCAGGTTTTCAGGTCACAAGGTGTGTATAAAATGTAAGTTCTGCATGTGCTAAAATAGACTGTGACTGGAAAAAGGGAGGCAAAACCTTACAATTGCAAGATGACTACTCTACCCACACAGCTACAGTTGCCCCATATTAAAATCAAGAGCACAATTTAGTCAAACTTGACTGTTGATATATTTGTCTCCATTTGAATCAAGTTTGTTGAACTAAGGACACAACTATGAGTTTCTGGACTGGAGTTTAATACCCTCGGTGTCATACTGTGTCAGTTTTATTTGCACCAACAAAGCTATGCATCTCAATCAGAGTTCAATATTTTTTTCTGATCTCACCAGAGGAACCATTTTCTACATGCATGCTCTGTTTTCTGTGGCACAACAGATTCTCAAAGGGACAAACAACAAAATACAAATACCAAAGAAAAAAACCTTTCTTGTTTTCTCTTAAAATCACATCGGATGGTTTGGTTTAGTCCAGAATGCATTAGAGAACTAACTGGACATTAAGACAGTCCATTGAGAAATTTCTGAGCAGATATGCAAGATGTCAAATCAACCAATTTATTTATCAAGTCAAATTTCATTAGAATATTTTAATCTCGGACGTCCTCCTATAATAAATGGAGCTGTCAGGAAAATTGGGCGCGATACAATCAATGTTTGCCCGAAGGAAATTTCAATCTGTCACAGAGAACTGGAAAAGGGACACAAAATAAGCCACAGATGCAGAGCTTTGATAATTAGAGGTGTTGTTTGATTAGAGCTGCTAAATTATGTACCGTAATCATGTTTACAGTCAGAATAAATTGTTTAGAATACGTTTCGCCGACAGGACTTATGTACGTAATCTACATAATTTCTACCCCGATTTTATCCTGAAGCACTCCAGCAACGTTCATTTGGAAATGAGCTGAACCCTGTTGGTGGTTGGCTGTCAGAGCTGCTCATCATTTGGAGAAAATATGGAAGGTAAACGTTTTGTTGCTCAACTCTCATGCTGTTGAAAGCAGCGGTAGAGTGGATGCAATCAATATCCTGTGTAGGGGGCAGTGGTCTAATTTACACAGCCTTGATGTGGTGATTAAATACAAATTGATATGAGAGACATTGCTGACTTGCAGAAGTTTGAGACAAGTAATCACAGTTTCATAACACACATAATATTAATACGTTCTCTTTCTTCACTATCGTTTTGTTTATTTCCAGGATTTAAACTTCATATTTTTTTCATCACAATCACACTACCTCGCTCTTCTCTCTCTGTCTCTGCTGCCATCGCTGCCCTTGTCATCCATCAAGGAGGCGGTGACAACGAGGGCCCGTGTCCTTGGACATGTAGAAAAGCCCTGCTATTGACTGGCATGATGAGCCGCTCTTTCCTTGTTCCTTTCCCGCAATCCCCATAATCCCTCTGTCTTAGCTGCCAACACGGCGCACTCATCAGGACCACAGGGGCAGTGGATGGGGGGCCTGCTGTCGCCACATATTATATCACTGCTCAGAGAGGGTTATGCCTTCGCTTAAAGCTGCCCACATGGATGCATACGGCAGGGGGAACACCACAGATGAGCTGAAGCATAAAGATGTAAATGGACTCCAACCTTAGCGCACATAATCGTATGGATTTACAAACATGAAGTATGACCTCCCACACATGGAACCTTTACTGCACCACAGGCGTAGCATGCAACAGCATTTTGTTGTCTCCAAAGGTCATACAGTTGCATCTTATTCTCTCCTTGCAGCAGAACAAACTGACAGATTTGTACAGTGCTGAAGACATACGGTTTATTATCTCTATCTTGGGTTCCTTTCTGGCATTACAGCTGGTGACCGCGGAGTAGATGGATGCTTTCTGAATGTTGGGCTCTCTACACGACTGCCACATGTTGCTTTCTCAATTAAATGTCTTTCCAGTGTTGTCTGAAGAATTATGCCTGCATTATGATGTGCAGAGATTTGAAAAAGCATTCAATTTGAACCTTTTCATTTTTGTCACATTAGAGCCACAAAATCCAATGTATTTTAATTGGATTTTATGTTATTGACAAATTGAATGAGCATAATTATCAAGTTTATACCTGTTTTTTGATTTATCTCTGGGCTCGGTGTACTGCCTATTAGCGTCAAGAAAAATGAATGATGCACATGGACATGCCAATAGCTTTTTGAGTAGCATGCTGCCTAGTGTTTACTGCCTACTTTATGCAGTATGCCTATATGTTAACTAATTCTTGAGAGTGCCAAGGTTTTTGATGCTCTGTGTCTGTATTATGTTCAGTGGCACTTTTTACTATTATTAAAAGAAAAGTTGTGGAACTTTTGCTGGCAAATTTATTAAACTACAGCCATAGCTATATTGCTAAAATAGTAAAAAAGTCAAGCAACATTCTTTCATGAAAACTTGATGACTTGTTGACTTGTTAAATAGGGATTTTTTGTTCATATATATCACATGAGATATCTATGAAATAATTTGTGTTATGTGATAAAATGCATCAAATCCAAAGGCTATGAATACTTTTTGAAAGCACTGGTTATGTGTGAATGTCCTCATTTATGTAGGTTTGGCATTAAATCAGCTGTGGGACTGAAATCATGTACTGAAACCTCACTGATAGATAGGCTTATAATAAAAAAAAGGCCTATACACAGCAACAGATGCATTGTTTATTCAAGACGCTTATCTCTATCAAGCCAGTTACTGAATAAGAATTTGCTGATGGCATTCTGCTGCTCCTGTACACTATACAGTGTAGAAGATGATAAAAGAGTGAAGGTGGCAGAGCAACATTCTGATTTTATCTGTTTCTGTGTGTGTGTGTGTGTGTGTGTGTGTGTGTGCCTCATCAGGAAGCCATGAAGGAGAACCACAAGAAGAGGGAGATGGAGGAGAAGATCAAGAGAGCCAAGCTGGCGAAGGAGAAAGCTGAGCGAGAGAAGCAGGAGCGTCAGCAGAAGAAGAAGCAGCTGATTGACATGAACAAAGGTACGCTGCTTCTCTCCATGCTGCTGCCGAGACGGGGAGTTCAGGGGACAAGAAGCACAAGGGTGGAGAGAGGGTTTCATGGAAATTTGCTGCACACAGATTTGAACTCAGCCGCTGATACTAATGTAGAGAAGCAGGGGGAGGGAGTCCTTTATTTCAGTTTATTTTCAACTCTCATGTTTACAGTGCTTCCATAGCTCAGTCAGCGCTTCCAGATAAAAGAGAGGTTATGCTAGAATTGGTATTTTCTACTTGTCCACATTCTGTAGACAAAAAACATTCTCCCCCTGCTGCATCTAAAAATTGAGCACATTTTATTCAGTCATGCTTCCAGCTATTGGAAAGAAGTCACAAATAAACTCAAATATGTTGTTTGCTTACAGAGACACATGCTGGAAAATACGGGCTGCATGTAAAGATAGGAAATTAAGGCCCGCTTTATCGACTAAACCGAAGATTGCTGTGTAGATGGCAATCTCAACATGATCATTATGGCTCTGGTAGTTTACCATTCATTACATGGAAGCAATATAAGGAAAAACAATAGCATAACAGTTTCCAGAAAGGCTGTAATGACTCCTCTGTCCTGCAGCAACGGCAGCGTGTCGTGTATTGATCAGTGTGAGCTGCTATTGTTTTGCACGTGGAGGAAAAAATACAGTGACAGCGGCTGATGCTTGTGTCTAGTTAAAGCAATGACACTGAAGGAATTTCAAGCCTGGGAGGCCTTACAGGCAGTCAGTGCACTCTTTTGTCCATTATTTATTCATATTTTTTGACTAACAGAGTGGGATTTCCACAGTAGTTTCTAAATGTCAGTGCTAGCCAAGGACCTCTCCATCGTCCAACCTCATTGGGAAATATGACAAGACGGTCTCCAGCACGCCACAGACTCTCCAAGATAATTGATGCATGCTACAGTTCTTCTCTCACTTTTTTTTTTTTTTTTTTTTTGTTCCCTGAGCAGAGACCTCTTTGAAAGCTCTACTTTCAATAATCCAACATGGCTGAGCTGAAGGAGGCTGTCTGCCCCCTCTCTCTCTGTGTCTGGCAAACCAGATGGAGAAGGATGGAGAAGTGGTGCGATATTAAATATTTCTGCCAGAGCAGATTTTGATCTTGGTTTCTGAATGCCATAATATGACATTCAGAATGAATAAAACATGAGGATGACATGGGCAGCGTTGCCTGCAGCCTCCGAGATAGTGGGGGATTGTGCTGCGCACCGACACCTAGATTACTGGACTGTCTCGATGACGGTGACCTTGGAAAATTATGGAAAACTGGCTTTCTTATCCAAGATGCACTCGGCATGACCAGCTTTTCTGCTGTCAAGGTTCTTACCTGGATGTTTTTTTTTTATGAACCTAGAATAATTTAATGTATTTTTACTTATTTCTAATGCGGAAGGCAATTTAACAAAAGCAGCGCTCTGTTAATGTGTCTGAGGAGTATAGAATTTAAGCTCCAACCAGAAACAAGTGGAAGTGTGTTCAATTTATTTGTTTGTCCTCACGCCTTCAGTTTCCTTTTGTTTGGAAGACGTGAAAAGTGGCTCTCCTAGATGTACTAACCCTCAGATTTATGAGACCAGGTTTATGAGATGCAATAACATCGCAACAAGGAGGAAAAATTAGCTTTTCCAATGTTAATTAATCACATATCCTTTACCTTGAAAATACCAAAATATCAGTGCGGGGAAAGATATGAAAAATTAAATGAGATGCAGCGACCTGGTTGTGAACAGAGTGCATCTTTAGACTAATTCTGGGTTGAGATATACGAGAAATTATTATCAGTGTAAGTTTTTGGATACACTCACCCTGCGTCTTGTTGTTACCACAGAGTGAGTAAAGTGCAAATCATCTGGGCTGTGTGATTGATAGGGATTGATTGATCAGTGTGGGGCCTTGTACACATTTAGTTGTGCTTGTGGCAGTTTAATAAACTTTTTTCCATCTTACCAAACAGGCTAAGCTATTTATGCCTTAGTCTTGTTTGGCCTTCTCTGCGCTGACTGTATTGTAGGCTTACTAAATGAATCACAGAAGTCCAAACAGACCCTATTATCAAGCAAATAATTTCAGTCCCACCCTACCCAGGACAAAAATCTAAACTGTACCTTGCCTGCAGCCTCAGACATTTCAGGGATTGTGTTGTGCACCAACAGAGGGTACTGGTCTATCTTAATAATGGTGAACTTGAAAATATGGAATATCTACTTTCCTAATGCAAGGTGTGCACAGCGCTCCCAGCTTTTCCTCTGTCAAGGTCGTTACCTGCATTATTTTATTTTTTTTAAACCTTGACATTTTTTCTGTTCCTTCAGTTGTTTTTCTTTGTGGAAAGCAATCTAAGGAAGGACAAAGGTATGCAGGGCTCCGTTAATGCGTCTGATGAATGGGAATGTAAGCTCCAGCCAGAAGAAGGGTGGAGGTGAAAGCAGCTCGGTGGTTTGCGCTCGTGCCCTGCGTCTCAGTTTCCTTTTAAGCTGTTTGGTTTGAAAATATGTAGCAGGAAATTTAATGTTTTCTTGTTGCGCATCTTTCTTCTCTGCGCCTCCTCTCCTCCCTGTTTGACAGCCTTGGCTTGAGACTCTCGGCTCTTGTCTCCCTGCCTGCTCTAAAATTCTACATGTGCTTCACATATTCGAAGAGTTTGTTATTTGAGGTGATTTTTCTATCAATATTTCATGCAGAGCATCACTCTTGTTTTCCATGATGGTTTGGGAAAACACAAAAGTGAGTAACACAAAGAGACTCGTGTAATTCCTTTCACCATTAATTAATCATGGCTGAGCATTTTTGACATTAATTTTAAATTCTGGGGGTTAAAAGGCTAAATGAAATCCTGAAATAGATAGTTTAGACACCTGCTCTTAGACATCAGACTGATAGAAATTGAGTAGGACCCGCTATGTTTGCTGTGTTTTTGGATGCATAAGCTGAGCAGATGGGGTAAACATATGCCTATTGTGTTATGAGAATTAAGCACAGGTCAGTGTCTTATCTATTTTAGGGATTTACTGGTTTGCTCATTTTGTGGCTTAAAGGACTGCTTGATGGATAATAGTATTTTGTTTAAAGCAATTTCAAGAGTCTATTTTTGAGAAGGGATAGATTTTATGTCATTTCACAAATTGCAACCTAATCCTCTTTCCTCGCAAATGATTAACAATGAAATGCATTTTTAATGAGAGTTTAATTCATTTAGCTTTTTGCCATGATGGCACCAGGATGGAGGAAAGAGGAGAGGGGGAGCAGATAAACGCTTTTAGGAAAGTGGTGATATATATTAAAAAAAAAAAAAAAACTTGAAATGAAGTCCTCTCTTTGTATCACTTTTCCAACAAAGTGACAGATAGATAAGAGAAGTGTATCACTAAACACTCCTCTCAGTTAAGTATTTGAAATCTTAATGTATGAAATATCTTATAAAATCATTACTCAGTCACTCAATTTGTTTTAATTTGGTCTAAGTGGATTCTCTTGAACTGACCAGCTGTTCAACATTTACAGAACCACTTTAGATCAGTGGAAGTGACTGTTGAGCTCTGCAGAATATGAACTCAAGCTAATGCCTGTGTCTATTACAGGCTAAGAGCAGGATATTTTTACTGCAAGGAAATAAAATGAAACAATGTCAGCAGCAGGAAGCTGGGCTCTGCACAGAGCTGCAGCCTGGTGGAGGACTTGAACTTTCCTTCTCTAAAGGCATCAGAGTGAAGAGAAGCAGGCCCCTCTGGTCGCCAGCATGGCTGGCATCACCAGGGTCAGCCCCCCCGTCTGGGGCGAGTGTCTGAACCCGCATGTCATCTGCGTATTCCCAGTCAAATTCACTAAGCTCTGAAAAGACCCGGAAAGCCTGCACTCTTTTTGAGCACAATGTGGTCTGGCATAAAGCACATATGAACGACAACAAAAAAAAAACTAAGGAAATAAATAGATGCCAGTTGACCATTATGCTTCAGCCAGGTACCAGGAAGACTACTAAAACTGCCATATTTAAAGACATAAGTTTATCATTTTTATCTAGTTTTAGCTTTAAAGAGCTGCAGGTGGCAAAGGTAAACAATTTTATTTAGATTGTGTCTGTGTGTGAAAGGTCGTCGCCCTGCTTAAAGATGAACTTTAACCCCGCAACTTGTAGGTTTTCTTCTTGTATTCAGCTCCTTTCTGCTGAAGTATCTCAAACATCTTTTTTTTATTAGGACAGTGTGCTTACTGTGATGTGTAGCCAGTTTTCTCCCACAGTTAGGGTCAAAAAGATGTTTTTATTTGACCGGAGCACCTTCCTCAATTTTTCCATAAAATTATTATTATTTTTTTTAAATACAAGACTAAAAGTTGTTGATTTTCTCACTTGATTTGTGGATATTTTATTGGGTTACCATGAGCCATTTGGCTTCTTCAAACATTAATTTTTATTTTTGCCAGACTTGTTGATTTGAGTGAAAAGTAATTTCTTGTGTTATGTTCCTATAAAATACATGGACTTTTGTGGTTGTCATGTGACAAAGTGTAAAAAAGCGGGAAAGAAGATTTTCAGAGGGAAAACATTACACAGTTGACTTTTTTTTTTAACCCCCTAAGCATCCTCAGCTGTTTCACTAAAACCTTAAACATACAAAAGCTCTAAACATGCACTTATCTTTTTTATTCTGTCTTCATTGCATCATTTTTTTTGCTGAATGGATGGAAGGCCACCCAGCTGCCTCAATCCACTGCAACAGCTTGCAGACACCAGAAAAATGCAAATCCATACATTGCTTTACTTTAACAGAATACAGTTTATGATAAATGTGTTTTGGCATGAGACATATGTTCCAACATAGTCACACAATATAGAACGTACAAGATTATTATCTTTATATTGTTATCTTTGTTCATTCACCATCTGGAATGAACAACTTAAAATCTATATTTGCACTTACAAATCATAAAGTCTAAAGGTGAATGAATTAATGTGCTGATAGTGCTGGTAATAATGGACATAGAGTT